CCATTAGTCTAGAATCTGTTGTAAGCCCGGATGCGAACGTTCTACTAATAAATGATCAGATTTCACCATTGTCTTAACTTTAGAATCTCACTAGCTGAGCAGCGCAGGCAGGCGAGGAAGACCAGAGCCATCAGACCCCTCGATGCCGCCACCCTTCCCTGTCCACACTGTCAGAGAACGTTTCGTGCGCGGATTGGCCTGACAAGTAATCTGCGTACCCACCAACTTCGACCCCAGGATGACTAGATGGTCTTCGTCGAATCGACGGACAAAATCTCTCTCTCACGTCCGTGGTATTGTACGTCCGTGGTATAATAAGAGGTACTGTAGGTCAGTGCCTCAGTTGTATTGTACTGTGATATTGTCAGTGTTGGCATCTTGGTGGTCACTGTTTTAAGACGGACATCAAGGGACTTCCATTTGACGGACATCAAGGGACTTCCACTTGACAGACACCAAGGGACATCCACTTGACGGACATCAAGGGACTTCCACTTGACGGACATCAAGGGACCTCCACTTGACGGACATCAAGGGACCTCCACTTGACGGACATCAAGGGACTTCCGATTGACGGACATCAAGGGACCTCCACTTGACGGACATCAAGGGACCTGGTAAAGTAACCAAGGCTACTTTACCAGGTTGAAATAATTATAATCATCGGAAGGTAATCAGGGTTGATTCGATGAAGGAGTAACTCCAGGTCCTTGGACGAAGAGCTCTTCCTCTCATCAAGGGACCTTTCCTTTCTCTGTGGGCAGGCGGGTGATAACAGAAAGGCTTTACCTATGTGACATGACAAGATATCTTATTAATGAAAATAATTATTATTATTATAATCAAGGGGAAGCGCTAAACCCGGAGGATTATACAGCGCCTGGGGGGGGGATGTGGAAGGCATTCAGGCTTAATTCGGGGAACTGGAGCACAGATCCAATTCCCTAAATCAAGAGCCCCTCACCAACATCAAGGAACCTTCCTTGAGAGGTTAATGAAAATAAGATACCAGATATACTAAGCAAATTTCCTAAATTTGCTTGTAACAGATAATTGAACTATAGATATGTAGGTATAAATCCATATGTATTCCTGTTAACCATTTGGGGCCCAGTTCCTGGGCCTTTTATGTATCCATATACTTTTGCACTACCGTCCACAGGATGGATATGGTGTGCACAATAAACTAGCCACTCCTGTGGCAAAATCTAATCTAAATCTCATGAAATCGTAACAACACGATTGCAAAGCAACTCACCAGCCGCGAGTTCAATCCCCACCAGTACCGTGGTTTATGGAGATCTTAGGTAAATGTCAACAGTCAGCAGAATTATCCTTGCATCATCACGAAGGTTAATACAGAAAACTCAATAATTTTAGGAAATTTAATTTTTTTTGCAATAGTATAATGTTATGAAAATCCTAGCAATTTCTCAACCTTTCTCTAGATATTAGTTATTATATTTATTAGAGTGTTAAACCAACAATATATAATTAGGTTTGTTGCAAGGTAGAAGAGTGCAGCTCAAACTTCTTGAATCAAGAGCCTATCATTAGCATCAAAGAACCAGTTGTGAAGGCATTTATAGATCTTATTACCTCTTGTAATTTGCATATCCAACATAACACTGGGAATATATTTGTAAAAATATTCCACAGTCATATCCTGTCACTTTAAGATCAAATTTGTTCGGAGTTTTAACCCCGGAGTGTTAGCACCTACAATAACCCAAGAAAGTCAGTGTACTATCTTAGACTGTCTGTCTTATTTCCATTGGGGTCCTCAATCTTGTTTCCCAGGATGCCACCCACACCAGTCGACTAACTGGCGTGGGTGGAAACACTGGGCATGTTTCCTTACACCCGTTGTACCATTGTTCACCTAGCAAGCAAGTAGGTACCTGGGTGTTAGTGGACTGGTGTGGGTCGCATCCTGGAGGACAAGATTGAAGACCACAATGGTAATAAGACAGACAGTCCTTGATGATGCACAGACTTTCTTGGGTTTCCTGAGTGGCTAACCCTCAGGGGTTAAAAATCTGAACAAAATCTTATCTTAATGTGGGTAATAGTGTATTTACAATATAGTAACCTTTACAGTCACATGCAACAACCGTTCCTCTTTTTTCTTTTCTAAAGTTTCCTTGATAGCCTCCGCCAGGTCAATATCTGATATTATTGTAATCTCATCTCCTTCAGAATCTGCAAATAAAAAGGGAAATCATTATACATATTCACCTATATTTAAAGTTCTTCCTCCAAACAATACCAGGTTATCGTATAATGATGAAGATAAGATAAGATGATAAGATTTCGTTCGGATTTTTAACCCCGGAGGGTTAGCCACCCAGGATAACCCAAGAAAGTCAGTGCGTCATCGAGGACTGTCTAACTTATTTCCATTGGGGTCCTTAATCTTGTCCCCCAGGATGCGACCCACACCAGTCGACTAACACCCAGGTACCTATTTGCTGCTAGGTGAACAGGACAATAGGTGTAAGGAAACGTGTCGAAATGTTTCCACCCGCCGGGAATCGAACCCGGGCCCTCCGTGTGTGAAGCGGGAGCTTTAGCCACCAGGCCACCGGGCCACAATACTGACAAGTGGATAAGATAGTACCAGGGGGAGAGAGCACAACTTTGTAGTACCCACAGTCATTGGCCAGGCTTCAAACACCTTTTATTGTACAGCAATAAAGGAATGGAACAGACTGCCCGCACATGTCAAAGCCAGTCATAGCATGAACCAGTTCAAGAAGAGTGCCAAAAGGTGTCTGATGAATGTAGCTACAGAAAGGGAGGGGAATGATTTTCTATTTTTTAGCTAACATACGTGTAAATTTTACCTTATTCCTAGTAATGACCCTCGTATTGTAGATAGTCTTAATGACCCTCGTGTAGTAGATAATCTTTTTAGTATGATAATAAGATGTTATCTTCATTGTAGAATAATAAGAAAATATTATAACCTTTATATTATAATAATAAGGTAAAAGGACCCCAATGGAAATAAGTCACTGTCTGATTTTTTTGGGTTATCCCAGGTTCTCTACACATATGCTGCTATGTATGATAATTCTATGTAACTGTATTTGTGTATACCTGAATAAACTTACTTACTTCCACTGGGGAATCCCGCCTACCAGTGACTTTGCCCTCGTCTGCTGCCCGTCCCTCTCCTTGACGCCTGTATAACCGCCAGTCTTCTTGTCTTTGCTCCAGATTCTCCTCCACCACGATGCTGTGAACACTAACTCCAAGGCCGAGGGACTGATTACCTCATCTTTTGTATATAGTTCTACTGTCTTCCTATTATGTCCTAGAATCTGTATTGATAAAGCCACTGGATGGCGAAACGTCTACAATAAAGATATCCAGATGTTGCACATGTGTCTTAACTTTCATATTGTCGGTATTTTATACCTTTCTTGCACAACTGTTTGTAACAGCTTGACAAAGCTCCTGAAGAGCGAAACGTTGCCACAATAAAATGTTACATTTGTTGCACTTGTGTCCTTTTTCCTTTATATATTGTCGGTAATTCTACCAACATTATTACAAGATCTACATTGGTAGGTAAGACACAGAAGCAACAGTTAGGCAACTTTATTCCGAAACGTTTCGCCTACACAGTAGGCTTCTTCAGTCGAATACAGAAAGTAGGCAGGAACAGTAGAGATGTGAAGACGATGTAATCAGTCCATCACCCTTGACTTCAAGGGTGATGGACTGATTACATCGTCTTCACATCTCTACTGTTCCTGCCTACTTTCTGTATTCGACTGAAGAAGCCTACTGTGTAGGCGAAACGTTTCGGAATAAAGTTGCCTAACTGTTGCTTCTGTGTCTTACCTACCAACCTGTCGGTATTGTATACCATTTTGATGTTCAAGATCTACATTATTTACTCTATATGTGGCATGGTTATTTTCCTGTTCAACATTTAGAACTTTGCATTTATTTATATTAAACTGCATCTGCCACTTCTCCGAACATTGCATCAGTCTATTCAAATCTTCGTGGAGTGCTCTAGTGTCCTCATTAGAATGAATTGGACGGCCTATTTTGGTGTCATCAGCAAATTTGCTTATGTAGCTATTTATTCCCTCATCTATGTCGTTTATGTAGATTGTGTACAACAACGGGCCCAACACTGACCCCTGAGGAACACCGCTTGTGACGTGCCCCCATTCTGATTTCTCCCCATTTATGCAAACTCTCTGCTGCCTGTTTGTCAACCATGCCTCTACCCAGGAAAAAATTTCTCCTCCCATTCCTTGTGCCTTAAGTTTCCTCGATAGTCTCTGATGTGGAACTCTATCGAAAGCCTTACTGAAGTCCATATACATAATATCGTATTCATAATACGATATTATGCATTGCATATTTACAATAGTGGGTTGCATTGCAACCCACTATTGTAAATACAAAATCTCAATGTATAATTTGCAAAGACATAAAATAAATAAATAAATAAATACCATGATCTACCTCCTCAAATACCTTAGTGAAGAAAGTTAGTAAATTCCTAAGACAGGAACACCCCTTTGTAAAACCATGCTGAGATTTATTAATCAATTTATGCTTTTCAAGATAGGTACGAACTGCTTCGGCAATTACTGATTCCATAAATTTTCCCACTATGGAGGTAAGGCTTATTGGTCTATAGTTCAAAGCTAAGGTCTTGTCACCTGCCTTGTAAATAGGTATTACATGGGTGAACATGGACAACCGGTGTAGGGAAACACGTCCAATGTTATCACCTCTTTGCTGGGAATTGAACCTGGACCCTCACAGTGTGAAGCGAGAGCTTTGCCTCAGGTCATGGGGCACCGTTGTCACCAAAGATCTCAACCCTCAATACTGCAAATGGAACCGTAAAATACACCTTGTCGAAGACTTCGACAATTATACACAATTCACATACCTACCAAAAGAAGTGTTTAAAAATTTAAAGAATGGGTCATGTCAAATAAGGTAGTACATATACTGAACTGCGCCTTCCTGCGGTCCCAACCTTGGCCATCAAGCGCTCATCTGCTGGGTTGAGAGACACGTAAATTCTCTCGTCTTCTAATAACGTTCATTTTTCCACTATAATCTACCTTGTCCATAATTACTATCACATTTGCTTTGTCTGTTTCGTAAGGTGAAGTCCAGGACCTTTCCTTAATTCACGGTATAACTAAACAAATCATAAAGGACAATTGTGTTGCAGAGGTCTAAACAAAGTTCAGGCCTCTGTAATACAATTCACTGGCAAGTGTCTTTGATGCTTCATCATATACATGACCAAATATATACATATACATGACCAAATATATACATATACATGACCAAATATATACATATACATGACCAAATATATGCATATATGTAAGGTACAACTCTGAAAATAAAATATTTTTCAGTTTCCATCTCTCCTGAGCCAACATCAAGTATACTAGTGAGGACGTCCACATAGCCAAGTATACTAGTGAGGACGTCCACATAGCCAAGTATACTAGTGAGAACGCCCACATAGCCAAGTATACTAGTGAGGACGTCCACATAGCCAAGTATACTAGTGAGGACGTCCACATAGCCAAGTATACTAGTGAGGACGTCCCCATAGCCAAGTATACTAGTGAGGACGCCCACATAGCCAAGTATACTAGTGAGGACGTCCACATAGCCAAGTATACTAGTGAGGACGTCCACATAGCCAAGTATACTAGTGAGGACGTCCACATAGCCAAGTATACTAGTGAGGACGTCCACATAGCCAAGTATACTAGTGAGGACGTCCCACATAGCCAAGTATACTAGTGAGGACGTCCACATAGCCAAGAATACTAGTGAGGACGTCCACATAGCCAAGTATACTAGTGAGGACGCCCACATAGCCAAGTATACTAGTGAGGACGTCCACATAGCCAAGTATACTAGTGAGGACGTCCACATAGCCAAATATACTTTGTGAGGACGTCCACATAGCCAAGTTACTAGTGAGGACGCCCACATAGCCCAAATATACTTTGTGAGGACGTCCACATAGCCAAGTATTACTAGGTGGACGTCCACATAGCCAAGTATACTAGTGAAGACGTCCACAAGCCAAGTAACTAGTGAGGACGTCCACATAGCCAAAATATACTAGTGAGGACGTCCACATAGCCAGTATACTAGTGAGGACGTCCACATAGCCAAGTATACTAGTGAGAACGTCCACATAGCCAAGTATACTAGTGAGGACGTTAACATAGCCAAGTATACTAGTGAGGACGTCCACATAGCCAAGTATACTAGTGAGGACGTCCACATAGCCAAGTATACTAGTGAGGACGTCCACATAGCCAAGTATACTAGTGAGGACGTCCATATAGCCACGTATACTAGTGAGGACGTCCACATAGCCAAGTATACGTGAGGACGTCCACATAGCCAAGTATACTAGTGAGGACGTCCACACAGCCAAGTATATTAGTGAGGACGCCCACATAGCCAAGTATACTAGTGAGGACGTCCACTTAACCAAGTAGTGAGGCCAAGACAGAGGGAGACAAGGTAAGGTCAAGACAGAGGGAGACAAGGTAAGGTCAAGACAGAGGGAGACAAGGTAAGGTCAAGACAGAGGGAGACAAAGTAAGGTCAAGACAGGGAGGGACAAGGTAAGGTCAAGACAGAGGGAGACAAGGTAAGGTCAAGACAGAGGGAGACAAGGTAAGGTCAAGACAGAGGGAGACAAGGTAAGGTCAAGACAGAGGGAGACAAGGTAAGATCAAGACAGAGGGAGACAAGGTAAGGTCAAGACAGAGGGAGACAAGGTAAGGTCAAGACAGAGGGAGACAAGGTAAGGTCAAGACAGAGGGAGACAAGGTAAGGTCAAGACAGAGGGAGACAAGGTAAGGTCAAGACAGAGGGAGATAAGGTAAGGTCAAGACAGAGGGAGACAAGGTAAGGTCAAGACAGAGGGAGACAAGGAAAGGTCAAGACAGAGGGAACAAGGTAAGGTCAAGACAGAGGGAGACAAGGTAAGGTCAAGACAGAGGGAGACAAGGTAAGGTCAAGACAGAGGGAGACAAGGTAAGGTCAAGACAGAGGAGACAAGGTAAGGTCAAGACAGAGGGAGACAAGGTAAGGTCAAGACAGAGGGAGACAAGGTAAGGTCAAGACAGAGGGAGACAAGGTAAGGTCAAGACAGAGGGGGACAAGGTAAGGTCAAGACAGAGGGAGACAAGGTAAGGTCAAGACAGAGGGAGACAAGGTAAGGTCAAGACAGAGGGAGAACAAGGTAAGGTCAAGACAGAGGGAGACAAAGTAAGGTCAAGACAGGGAGGGACAAGGTAAGGTCAAGACAGAGGGAGACAAGGTAAGGTCAAGACAGAGGGAGACAAGGTAAGGTCAAGACAGAGGGAGACAAGGTAAGGTCAAGACAGAGGGAGACAAGGTAAGGACAAGACAGAGGGAGACAAGGTAAGGTCAAGACAGAGGGAGACAAGGTAAGGTCAAGACAGAGGGAGACAAGGTAAGGTCAAGACAGAGGGAGACAAGGTAAGGTCCAAGACAGAGGAGACAAGGTAAGGTCAAGACAGAGGGAGACAAGGTAAGGACAAGACAGAGGGAGACAAGGTAAGGTTAAGACAGGGAGGAACAAGGTAAGGTCAAGACAGGGAGGAACAAGGTAAGGTCAAGACAGGGAGGAACAAGGTAAGGTCAAGACAGGGAGGAACAAGGTAAGATCAAGGCAGGGAGGAACAAGGTAAGGTCAAGACAGGGAGGAACAAGGTAAGGTCAAGACAGGGTGGAACAAGGTAAGGTCAAGACAGGGAGGAACAAGGTAAGGTCAAGACAGGGAGGAACAAGGTAAGGTCAAGACAGGGAGGAACAAGGTAAGGTCAAGACAGGGAGGAACAAGGTAAGATCAAGACAGGGGGGAACAAGGTAAGATCAAGACAGGAGGAACAAGGTAGGTCAAGACAGGGAGGGAAAAAGGTAAGGTCAAGACAGGGAGGAACAAGGTAAGGTCAAGACAGGGAGGAACAGGTAAGAAAACAAGACAGGGAGGAACAAGGTAAGGTCAAGACAGGGAGGAACAAGGTAAGATCAAGACAGGGAGGAACAAGGTAAGATCAAGACAGGGAGGAACAAGGTAAGATCAAGACAGGGAGGAACAAGGTAAGGTCAAGACAGGGAGGAACAAGGTAAGATCAAGACAGGGAGGAACAAGGTAAGATCAAGACAGGGAGGAACAAGGTAAGGTCAAGACAGGGAGAACAAGGTAAGATCAAGACAGGGAGGAACAAGGTAAGATCAAGACAGGGAGGAACAAGGTAAGGTCAAGACAGGGAGGAACAAGGTAAGGTCAAGACAGGGAGGAACAAGGTAAGGTCAAGACAGGGAGGAACAAGGTAAGGTCAAGACAGGGAGGAACAAGGTAAGGTCAAGACAGGGAGGAACAAGGTGAGATCAAGACAGGGAGGAACAAGGTAAGGTCAAGACAGGGAGGAACAAGGTCAAGTCAAGACAGGGAGGAACAAGGTAAGGTCAAGACAGGGAGGAACAAGGTAAGGTCAAGACAGGGAGGAACAAGGTAAGGTCAAGACAGGGAGGAACAAGGTAAGGTCAAGACAGGAGAGGTACAAGGTAAAGGTCAAACAGGGAGGACAAGTAAGGTGAAGACAGGGAGGAACAAGTAAGGTCAAGACAGGGAGGAACAAGGTAATGTGAAGACAGGAGGAACAAGGTAAGGTCAAGACAGGGGGAACAAGGGAAGGTCAAGACAGGGAGGAACAAGGTAAGGTGAAGACAGGGAGGAACAAGGTAAAGGTCAAGACAGGGAGGAACAAGTAAGTGAAGACAGGGAGGAACAAGGTAAGGTCAAGACAGGGAGGAACAAGGTAAGGTGAAGACAGGGAGGAACAAGGTAAGGTCAAGACAGGGAGGAACAAGGTAAGGTCAAGACAGGGAGGAACAAGGTAAGGTCAAGACAGGGAGGAACAAGGTTAGATCAGAGACTAACTTAAGTAAACTTCTAAATATCGTCTTGTTTTAAAAAGGATCTTGCATATATTACCAAATATTACCTAAGTATACAAATTAACATAAGCTTATGTAATTTAGAAATCATTTTGTTAAATATGGAAGAGCAAAAATATATCTCAAATAATATACTGTAATTTTTACTATACATAAAGAAATTCCAAGATGGTAGATGGAATATTAATTACAATCTATATTTGCTATAAATTAGCTATGCAAATTTATAAATTAATATATGAATGCACATTCCCTTTACCTTTCCAAGTTATCATAAATGGATTAAAATCTGGGTCATCTGCATGGTATTTAGGATCAAATTTTTCCATAGCTTCATTACCAATTATTTTCCAAATTATTTCATATATTTCCGAATTAAAGTCGTCGAAGAGGAATGTTCCATTGTTAGGAGTGATGGTAAACTTTTTCACTTGATTTGTATTTCTCTTTTTAATCCTAATGCACGCCCTTATATTCACACTGTTATCATAAGTAAAATTCATGGCTGCTTCTTTCTTCCAAATCTGAAACCAAATTAATGAATTTATTAAGATTTTATTTTTTTTATGTTATGGTTCATTAGCCACTCTGTGTACAAAAAAAAATCTCAGTGTCTGCCTACCTGGAGGGTAATTCCGGGGGTCAAGGCCCCCCTCGGCCTGGTCCATGACCAGGCCTCCCCGTGGACCAGGGCCTAATCAACCAGACTGTTACTGCCGGCCGCACGTAAACCAACATACGAACCACAGCCAAGTTGGTCAGGTACTGACTTCAAGTGCCTGTCCAGTGCCTTCTTGAAGACAGTCAGGGGTCTATTGGTAATCCCCCTTATGTATGCTGGGAGGCAACTGAACAGTCTTGGGCCCCGGACACTTATTGTGTTGTCTCTCAGTGTACTCGTGGCGCCCCTGCTTTTCATCGAGGGAATGTTGCAACTCCTGCCGAGTCTTTTGCTTTCATAGGGAGTGATTTTCATTTGCAG